CACACAGACCGCATGGAGATAAATCACCTTGCTACAACACTTGCCATGCAGCTTGCAGATTACAGTCCTGGCTTTCGGGCTCATCTCATGGAGTTACTAGAGAAAGATTGTACTGGCATTTGCAGGGCAGAACCACACCTGCAGTTCCAGAAACTGGTTGTAGAAATTCTCCAGAAGCTGCCTCCCTGTTCAGAACCATGGGTGATCTGTCTTGATGCTCTGGATGAATGTGGTGAAGACCGTGGCCAGAAGTTCCTGCGGTGGCTATCTGATAGCATTGCTCAGATCCCGGCCCATATCCGATTCTTTCTGACTGGACGCCCTGATGTTCCATCCTATCTGAAATTTGATACACTTCTTTCTCTGGTGCATGAGGTTGTCCTCAATGAAATTGAACCCAGTATAGTTCAGGGTGATATTCACCTCTATGTTCAGCAATCACTTAATGGGGCCAACTGGATTACAAAGCAGCCCTGGAAAATTCAGAAAGAGCAGGCAGAAGAAATAACAATCCGTGCAAATGGACTGTTTGTTTTTGCAGCTACAGCTGTTCGCTATGTTCTTGCAGGACTGCCACAGACACTGCCACAGGAATCTGTTGATGACCTCCTGGATGGTGAAGGTCTTGCTGACCTGCATGATCTGTACCTCCGGATTGTGAATTATGCCATCCCATTAGCTGCCCACAGAGACCGGCGTGCTCAACGCTCACATGATCGAACCATGAAGATTCTGAGTACAATTTTGCAGCTCCGGGAACCTTTGGATTCCCAGAGTCTGGCAGACTTGCTTGAACTGGATAAAACAGTGCTTCTGGGGATACTAGTTCCTCTGAGTGCTGTGATTCATGTTTCTGATACTCCGGGGACAGCAATCAGAATCATACATCTCTCATTCAGAGAGTTTATGACATATTATGTTCAAGAGGCCCGGCCAGAAATCCTCTGTGGCACGGACAATCAGCAGCGAGCCCTGGTGGCTGCTCTTATGAAGGTGTTGGACAAGGAACTGAAATTCAATATCTGTGATCTACCAACCTCATACTTGCACAACAATGACATGCCCAATTTCTGGTGGCGACTTGACAACTACATCCCATTGCATCTCCGATATGCTGCTCAATTTTGGGTGGATCATCTAGTAGAGACAGCCTATGATTCATGCAGTGGCCAAGGAGTGCAGAACTTGCTGTTCAAAAAGTTCCTGTTTTGGCTGGAGGTGTTGAGTCTGCTTGGGATTGTGGGCTATGGACAGCAGGCTCTGTCTAAATTGATGGATTGGGCAAATGAGGTATGTCTAGGAATGATGTTATGAGATATTATGAGGACTGAAGATCATTAGAGCACATCTCTTCTCCAATTTGTGAACGATGCCAAAAGATTTGTTTCCTTCTTTAGGGAAGCCATCAGTCAAAGTGCTCCCCACATTTATCTATCAGCACTGGCCTTGGCACCAGCAGAGTCCAAAATCACTGAAAGATTCTCACATGAATTCCCACAATTACTAACAATTACAAGAGGGAGGATGAAACAGTGGCCAAATACAATTGCTGTGCTGGAGGGGCACACCCATCCAGTCACCTCAGTTGCCTTCTCACCAGATGGCAAGAGAATTGTGTCTGGCTCTGATGACAACACTGTGCCCATTTGGGATGCAGAGACTGGAGCTGCACTCAGGGAGCCGCTGGAGGGGCACACCGATCGGGTCACCTCAGTTGCCTTCTCACCCGATGGCAAGAGAATTGTGTCTGGCTCCTTTGACAAGACTGTGCGCATTTGGGATGCAGAGACTGGAGCTGCACTCAGGGAGCCGCTGGAGGGGCACACCGATCTGGTCACCTCAGTTGCCTTCTCACCCGATGGCAAGAGAATTGTGTCTGGCTCCTGGGACAACACTGTGCGCATTTGGGATGCAGAGACTGGAGCTGCACTCAGGAAGCTGCTGGAGAGGCACACCGATGGGGTCAGCTCAGCTGCCTTCTCACCTGATGGCAAGAGAATTGTGTCTGGCTCCTTTGACAACACTGTGCGCATTTGGGATGCAGAGACTGGAGCTGCACTCAGGGAGCCGCTGGAGGGGCACACCAATCTGGTCACCTCAGTTGCCTTCTCACCCGATGGCAAGAGAATTGTGTCTGGCTCTGATGACAAGACTGTGCGCATTTGGGATGCAGAGACTGGAGCTGCACTCAGGGAGCCGCTGGAGGGGCACACCAATGGGGTCACCTCAGTTGCCTTCTCACCCGATGGCAAGAGAATTGTGTCTGGCTCTGAGGACAAGACTGTGCACATTTGGGATGCAGAGACTGGAGCTGCACTCAGGGAGCCACTGGAGGGGCACACCGATTGGGTCACCTCAGCTGCCTTCTCACCCGATGGCAAGAGAATTGTGTCTGGCTCTGATGACAAGACTGTGCGCATTTGGGATGCAGAGACTGGAGCTGCACTCAGGGAGCTGCTGGAGGGGCACACCCATCCGGTCACCTCAGTTGCCTTCTCACCCGATGGCAAGAGAATTGTGTCTGGCTCTGATGACAACACTGTGCCCATTTGGGATGCAGAGACTGGAGCTGCACTCAGGGAGCTGGTGGAGGGGCACACCAATCAGGTCACCTCAGTTGCCTTCTCACCCGATGGCAAGAGAATTGTGTCTGGCTCCTATGACAACACTGTGCGCATTTGGGATGCAGAGACTGGAGCTGCACTCAGGGAGCCACTGGAGAGGCACACTGATCCGGTCACCTCAGTTGCCTTCTCACCCGCTGACAGGTCTCTTCTCTCTGACTGCAATGATTCCACCATTTGTCCATGGAATGTTGATGGTGTTGCCAATGGCCCACCTCTGCACTGTTCCCGCTCTGTGAGGGGATGGAGTTTACTCAATGTGGGTTCCTCTTCTATGCATACCTTTAGTATAGACTCATTCACTGTTCTAGTCCCTTCACCTCAAGTCCCCTTCTGAATCTCTGCATTGGCAAATTCACAATGGTTGGGCCTCTTGTCTCCCCTCGGAACTCCTTTTTTGGCTCCCTATGCCCTCTAGGGTTGGACTGTGGTCTCCACACAACACACTTGTTATTGGCCAAGAACAGACCTTGCTCTCATATGAAAACTTTGTATGTGGCGTAGACTGGGCAAAGTGTTATGCCCAGCAGAAAGTCCTCTATAAATAATAAACATTTTGAATGGTATATCTTGGTTGATCCCTTTCCCCTCATGCTCCATTCTTGTCTTATGCCATGGAAGCAGATTGTTCAACCACTAGGGTGATTATCCTCATACCCCTACCCTTTACTCCCCAACACCCATTTCTGCCTCATCTACCCCCTTCATTGCCCCTGCATCATCCCTTACTCCCTAAATTCCCTCCTCTTGATGCTACTCCTTGCTGTTCACCCCTGGCTCTGTACTCATATCATAGTATAAATACCTTAGTCAGTAGTTATGCTCTGTACACTAACTACAATTAATCTGCCGGGGTCTGGTCCAGTCCTGTTTTTTGCTAAAAATTTGAACCCCAAACCTGATCTTGGGTTCAGTTCAGGAAATTTCCAAACCTCAAACTTGACAGTGGTGACACAACTGTTCCGGGGCAAGCATGGAAAATGAGCTGCTAACACACAACCCAAATACCAAACACTTCCTTAGCTACCCGGAGGGACAGACTGCAAGTTCGGGGAGCCCAATGTGGTGAACATTGTATGCAATCTGGATTCACTACACTAATGTAGAGCAAAAGCCAAAGCTTTAGATAATGTTCTGCTTAGTTCATTCAATGGTCTTCTAGGTGCTCAGAGGAGCCACTAGGGATGATTGGAACATAGGTTTGTTCAACAATGCTCCCTATTGGCTGCTCCTTCAGCCCTCTCTGCATCTGTGCTTGTCCCAGGCTCAAAGGCTCAGAGAACTGCCTGATCCGGGCCAGCCCATTCCATTCCGATGTGATGTGGACTGCAGTTCTTGTAGACACCAAGTGGGCTGGGTGCCTTGGGTAGTCTGCAATTTAAATGGCTTGTCCTCTAGAGGGAAATTAATTCTGTCGCTGAGACTCTCCTGGTGATTGCGGCAAAATGTATTTGGAAGAAAGAATAGGTAACTCTAATGGAAGGTCTATTAGAGGGCACTACTACTGTCGATGGAAGTCGGAAGTGCAGACTCCTTTCTCCTGTACGTCCGGGGTATGTCAGGGATGTTGAACTTCCGGGAATCGCTGGCTCCATCGTGCGTCCCACTGTCTTGCTCCGGTACCAGGAAGCACCTTACTTGGCCTACCGTTCCTCATACCCATCGTGGCCTAATGGCGTAATGGAACGCACTCCGGCACGGTAGAAGCTGAGCACCATTATTTCGGAGGGTCTGGAGTTCAAGTCTTTGTTAGGCTGTTTGCTTTCTTTTTTAGGCTGGTCTTTTCCCACGGGATTCCCACTCCGGAACAGTATGTGTCTTTCTGCTCCTCCGAGCAGTCATGGCTAGGGAGATGCGGCTACCAAGGGGGTTCCGAGCACCATAGAGTAGCTTTTCTGAGGAATAGGGGATGTCACAGAGGTCCAAACGTCTCCTGCACTCATAGTCGTGGATGCGATGAATGATATTAGAGTTCCAACGGGAGTCGTAGTCGTGTAGCTTGCACTTGCATTTCCAGAGTGGCACAATGGTCTTTTTTAGTTCCAAAGCACAGTCAGTAGTCAATGGTTGGAACTTGGTTCCATCTGTGTGTGGAATTCCTAGTTCTCAGAGGTTTGGTATTGCACCCTGCTCTAGTGCTCTTGCACAAGTGCCTTGACAGGAGGTCCAGAGTTCGAATCTCCATCGCGCCTTGAAGGGTTATCCATTTTTATATAGTTGGCTCAATGATTCCTGCGGAGTCATGCCTAGCTCTGTGCGGAACCCCTAGTATCGTCAACCTAAGCCTGTTCGGACCCCTTAGTTCTTGGACACAATGTCAGAAGTCTTCTGCTGTGCGTTTCTCGTATAAGATGTTCATTGTGGAAACAGATATTTGGCTTGGTGGCATAATGGTAACGCGCTCCGTGTCCTTTACAGTATTTGTATATCGTTTGACGGAAAGTTTGGAGTTCAATTATCCGTCAAGCCATCTAAAATATTTCTTTTGTTGTCCTCAAGGCACGACTCGGTGGCGTAGCGGTAGCACATTCCAAATTTCTATATAGGTGTTTCGTTCACGGAGGGTATGGAGTTCAATTCTCCGTCGAGCCATGGTCTGGATATGGTGGCCTTTTTATCTTATTGTCGGATGTCCTACATCGGTTCTCGGAGCTTCGGTGTTTTGTATAAGATGCTGATCATGGATACGGATATTTGTATTGGTCACATGCTCGGCGGGAGTTGTCACAAAGTGATGGCTCGCACTGAGTCATGGCAGAATTATAATATTATCAGCCCTCCTTGCTGATGGCATCCATCCAACTGCTCAGCCACTGATCTCCAAAGGTCTCCAATGCCTTGGAGATGTCCTGGACAGTTTTCCCTCCACTTTACTGGGTATCCTGAAAGGAAAAATCGCAAAAATGGCCCCACCAAAGAGGACTCAGAGGGATTTCAAAGGCATTCAGTCTTGCCTATTCTGTAGGGGTCCAAATGTGCTAGAATCATTTTTTTCTCTGCATGCTTTGCATGCCCATGGTAACTCAGAGACGGATGTAAGGTATTTATAACCCAAAAAAAGCACTTAGATCTGACTATTCTATGGCAGAAATAATCTGAGCTTGGTGAGGGCAATAAGGCCTGACATTACATGTAACCACTGGGAAGTAACAGCAACCAGTGTCCCAGATTTGGTTGAGATCTGGTGCAATTATTGTGCCAACAGGATTGAAGCCTATGAGAGCCTGCAGAGCTGCAAAAATTTGGGAATTTCTTGGAGATGCCAAATTACCCTATCTCCAACCCTGGGAGTGGTCAATACTCTTAGACTACAGCGGGGAAGAACGAGGCAGAACGGAGATGGGTTCAGGATGTTCCCAGCCATGACTGATATGACATGGCAGATAACATGTCACAATGTTACCTGCCGGCTCACAATTTTGACAGCTTCAAGCCCTGGAAATATCATCTGTGTACACAGGATACATTCTATATGCTTCAGACTTTTACCAGAATATTTTAGAGATTTTGGGAGAGGTAAATCTACCACAATTGGCTTAGTGGCAGATAACATGGCAGATAACAACCCCAGTGACAACAGCCACAACGACTCTGCTGACATGATTCGAGTGCAACCAATGCTCTTTGGGGTCGCCCAATAGTCTAGATGTAGCGAGTCCAAAGCATGTGTGTGCGTGAAGCTCTTCCGAATCCCCGACGTGCGCGCGAAATTCAGCGTAGCCTCAGGCCTCAGCCCCAATTCTTGTTATGTAGCTTACCCTTGCTTGCTTCGGGTCCCTATGGTTTTGAAGGCGCGTGAATTTCTTCGGGATGTGCCGTTTCCCGTCGGCGGTCGCATTTTAATGTTTCAGGCGCATTGACAGTTGGTTTCGAGGCCGGACGATCGACATCTTGTAGGCTCCACGTCTTTTCCTTCTCTCCTCTCGATGATATATATTCGGTCGACATGGCGGATCCTCTGCCGTCTTCAAGGCTCAAGCGACCTCTTTCCTCCTTCTTCTCGTTCTCCGATGTCCGTGCATTGATTCCCAGAGATAGCAAGGGCGATATTCCTCGGGCTGCTGAAGCGCGCAGAGGCGTCATCGCAGAATGAGAACGGCGGCCGAGGTCGTCTCCGCTGTCCCTGACCATGACAGATATACATATCAGCACTGGTAAGCCTCTTTCCACCTTCTAACAAAGAATGATTAGACATTCGTAGTGTGGGACTGCCAGATTCAGGATTGAAACGACCACGGGTGCCCATGGCGCTACTTACATCATGGCTACGTCAGTGCTCAGAATGGTCGGAACTTCTACTTGTCTTCCGGCTAACGTTTTACTACTCCCGCCAGGCCTAGAGACTTTTCATTCCTGCGTTCTAAAATATTCACAAAGCAGTCGGGGACATCGAGGTGTGTTGTGGCTTGCTTGGTTACTGCCCGAGGCGCGCCTGCTCATGTGACTCCGCTGCACTTGCTCGTGCGCGCCCGGTTAGTAAACGGACCTTTCCTCGATGCCGCCAGTGACCACCGCCGAGACGCAAGAGTCTACTGCGGCCGCCATCCTCAAAGAGCGGCGCTTCAAGCTCAGCCGGTGTGTATCCCTCTTTGTTTCACAAGGCAACAGCGACTGACTCGCGCAGGGCCTGCGACCGATGTCGGTGAGTTATTTATTTTGTGGGTGCACCCACGGCGGGCTAAATGGGTGCAGGCGGCGGAGAATCAAGTGCGACGAGGGCCACCCGTGCCAGGCGTGCATGGCCGCGAGCTCGGCGTGCACCTTCGAGGAGCCGGGCAAGCGCACCCACCCGCACAAATCTAAGCGCACCGCGACGCTCGAGGACCGCATGCACCACCTCGAGACCCTCATTCAGGCGATCCCCCCCGCCGTGTTTGCGGCCGGCAGCGCGGGCGACCACCCCGCGAACGTGGCCATGACGGACGTGCCCGCGAGCCCCATCGCGCCGTTCATGTACCCCACCTTCCCGTCAGGCGTGCCCCCGCCCTCGCTGCACGTCTTCCCGCTCACGAATCCCTCGACGCACTTCAATCCCCTCGAGCCCAAGCGCGACGAGAGCATCGCGCCCCCGCTCCTCGCTGCGGACACCCCGTCGCCCGAGCAGCTCGCAGAGGACACCGCGCGCCTATCGCTCTCCGCGTCCTACCTCTACTTTGACGACGAGGGCTACACGCGCTGGCAGGGCGAGGCGTCTGGCCTCCCTCTGCTTGATCTATTGGTGGAAAGACATGTACCGTCATCGGACGCCGCCCCGCCGTCCGTCGCCCCCGTCGAGCAGGACTGGTTCCCCAACCGTACCCCACGTCGCACGGACGTCAATCCCCAGACCTTGTGGCGATTAATTACCTCCTATATTGCCCCGGAATTAATGGACAGGTGCGGGACGGGCGACATTTGCCGCCATTTGAATTAAACTAATGGCTTGCATCTAGCCTTGTGCAGTGCTACCTCTCCACGTCGTACTACATCCTCCCCTTCCTCCATGTCCCCACATTCCTTACCGTGAGTTGCGACGTACTTCCCCAAGGCACCTGCTGATGATTATCCAGGACTACGGCAACCCGCAAAAATGGGGCGAACCGGGCTTTGCCGCGTTCATCGTAGCGATATGCTGCCTCGCTTCGCGCCACATGGACGACCCGCGCGTGCGCGCTTCCCCGCAGGACGGCATCTCTGCTGGCACGCAGTGGTTCGAGCTCCTAGGCAGGCTGCGCACGCTGCCCATTGCCGACCGGCCCACACTATACACGATCCAGGCGGACCTCATCGCGGCGGTCTACGCCGTCGGGCTCGGCAAGCTCTCCAAAGCCGCCGCGCTGCTCTCAGAAGCCGTGACGATCTCGATCGACGCGGGGCTGCACCGGAGCGCGGACACGTACGACCTCTTCGACCCCGTCGAGGACGAGGTGCGCAAGCGCACGTTCTGGTGCGTCTACATCTGGGACAAGCAGCTCTCCGCGCACTTTGGGCGCCCGCCGATGCTGCGGCTGCGCGACTGCGACGTCGCGGAGCCCGCGCCGGTGGACGACGAGTACATCACGCGCGAGGGCGTCGGCGCGCCGGCGCTGCCGCCGGGGACGGCGTGCCGCATGGCCGCGTTCGTGTGCGCGCTGCGCATCCTCGTCGTGCTCGAGAGCGTGCTGGACGTCCCGCCCGCGCGCGACCCCGCGGGCGGCGCCTTCCTCGTGCGCGCCGGGGCGCTCCTCGGCGCTGCGGGCGGGCGGCGCGCACGGGCGGAGCTGCGCGAGGAGGAGGCGCTGCTCGACGAGGTCCAGCGCGGGATCCCCGCGTTCTTCGCGCACAGCGCCGAGACGCTCGCGAGCGAGGACACGATCCGGCTCACGCAGGCGGTGCGGCTGCACTGCGCGGAGCAGTTCGTGCGGCTGCTGATTTACCGGCACCGGTTCTCCGAGCTCGTGGCAGAAAGGACGGCGGCGATGGACCCCGCGATGCGCGCGCCGCAGGGCGAGGTGGAAAGGGACGCGATGGTGAAGGCGCATGTGGCGGCGCTGCAGATCGTGTCGGCGCATTTGCTCATTGCGAAGAAAGGGCTGATGACGTATTGTACGTGCTTTCCTCTCCCTCCTTCCTCGCTTTCATCCTACTCACTCAATTTGCCCATACGCAGACGGCGTGCACGTAATCCACCAGCTCACCCAAGCTGGACGGACCCTCGTCGCGGTGCTGCTGAACTGCAAGACCGAGGCGCTGCAGCCGCTCATCCCGCCGGGGCTCGACGCGCTGCGCTCGTGCGTGGGGCTGCTGCGGCGGTTTAGCGGCCGGTATGTGTGTGGGCTGCGGAGCGGGGATCTGATGGAGGAGTTTTGTCGGTGTGAGTTGTCTGCGTCCTTGTCTGTTTCTTTCGTTCGCGAGTTTGGGTGGACACTGTACGACGTCGACGCTACGACGCCACCTCCCTCTCTTTCCTGTTCCCTCACTACCATCCCCTCTTCCGCCTTCCTTCACCGCCTTCCCTCTTTCCCCGCCTGCTACTTTCGCTGCTTTCGTTCCCTGCCTCCTTCCTGTTTTCTCATCGCCACCCCTCCTTCCCCGCTCTCCTTCCCTGAGGCCTTCCCCTGCCCCTCTCCCTTTCCTATCTTCTTCCTCTCTCCTTCTCTCCTGCTCCCTTCCTGCGTCTTCCTTCTCCGCTTCTGCCTCCTTCACACCTTTCCGCCCTTCCTCTTTCCTCCTTCGCCGTGTACTAACCCCACTCCACCTCGCAGTGACGCAAATCCCGCTGGACGCCCCGGGCCCGCGCGAGGCGCCCGACGGCGGCGTCAACGCCAACGCCCGGCCGCCGTGGATCCGGCCCGTGCGCAAAAAGTCCGTCGCCGCCGCCTCCTCTGCGGCGCGCTCGGCGAGTCCGAAGAGCCCGCCCCCGAAGAGCGCGAGCGGGAGCGGGGGGAGCCCCGAGGCGTTCTCGCCGAGCGATTTCTTAAATGCCCAAGGGCCGGGGCAAGGGGGGGAGTACGGGCAGCAGCAGGGGTTTGGGGAGATGGAGATGGAGGGGCCGGGGCAGGGGGGGGCGAGGGCGCAGTTTGGCGAGCTGGAGCTGGGGATTGGGATGGACGGGGGGGATCCGAGGATGTATG